TGATTGACATGCCCACTGTAGAATCTCCAAGAAGATCGCGGAGATGCTCCATTAATTATATTTTGTTCACACAAGATTCAACAACCAACTAAATACTTTGATTCARAGTGAAGATGAGATCAGAGTTTTGAATGATGAAAATTAGGAGACATTAAGACATTTATATATAGGAGGCATGAGCTTATTCCCATTTCCTTAATGTTGTAGGAAACTCAATTCTATTGGGTTTCAGTTTCGATTTCCTACTTCATTTTCAAATCCCTTTATCTTATCTCTAATCTTTATTCATTTGTAATTAATATCTTCTTAATCTTTTCAAATTTTTTAAAACTTTTTTTTTTAAAATTCGGTCATCTAGGAGATAAAGACCTATACTTAATATTTTCAAATTTCAAAAACTTCAAATTTCAAATTTGTCTCATCTCCATGCGTCATCTACGACAATTTTTGAAATTTATATTATACATTTATTATTATTGAATATCTTGAGTATAAAATTTAGTAATATTTTTTGTATCAATAATAATGCTTCCTCTATTGAAAAATTATATTAATCTTTTTTAAGTGGTTGATAAAATAATATTTGAAAAATTATTATTATTATTATTATTATCCTAATTAAGTTAAATTTGTTGGAGTTGGACTAAATTGTTGCTAATTTAAAAGTCCAAAGACTACTAAATAGTTACAAATTAAAATTCAAGAACTAAATTGTTACTTTAGTAAAAGTGAGGACGAAATCTGTTTTTTAACCCAATTTCTATAAAAGAAAAATAGAGTAAAAATCGAAAATTAAGGAAAATATTGATCACAATTGAACTAATAATTAATTCAAATTAGTGTTTATAAATATATAAAGAAAATGATGGATTGAAAATATATAAAGAAAATGTTCAATTGAACTAATAATTAATTCAAGTTATCTGTATCGATTACAACTCTTTCTATTCTTTAAAATAATTTTTCAAAATCTATTTAAATACAATGTTATTCTAGACTGAAAATGACTGCTGTTTATAGTTTCCAATTTATATTTCCAAAATATTAATTATTTATTAGGTTAAAAAACACTTTTGGTCGTGTACTTTCAGTGAAGTAACAATTTAGTCTTGATCTTTAGCTTGTAATTAACGATTTAGTCTCTCTACTTTTAAATTTGTAACAATTTGGTCTTCAAACTATAAAATTTAAAACTTTCCTTATTTATTGCTATGGGAATTGGAATCATATATTTAGCAAAGGTGATCGTTTTTTTTTAATTTTTAAATATTTGGACATATCAAAACAAGCATAACTTAGTGTTAATGGACATATATCTTCGATGGAAGGTTAATTAAAACAATATATAAAAGGAGAAAATTAAAAACTTTCTTTATTTATTGCTTCGGGAATTCGAMTCATATATTTTGTAAAGATGATTTTATTTTAACTTTTAAATATTTGGACAAGCCAAAACAAGCATAGTTCAACGATAACTGACATATATCACTAAGAGGTTGTGAGTTCGATCCTCCACCCCACATGTTGTATTAAAATATATATAACAATTTTAAGCTTCATATCTCGGACCGTTAACAACTTCTTAGTCAATTTACTATTCAACTCCCCGCTTTATTATTTTCTCTTTCTTCAAATGGCTCCAACATCTTCTCATACATCTTTTCTCTTTATCTCTTAGCCTCCATAAGAATGTTAATAAAATAATAACTCAATGATATCTTATTTTTCTACTAACAAATTTTAACAATTTTTTTTATATAGACATTCTCGTAGAGGGTCTTTTTAGAATTCATATTTTATAATATCTAAATTTATTATTCATAGAAAATAGAGCATTAGGTTGTAAGGAGTGCAGAACAGAGTCCCACATTGATTAAGGAAAAGGAGATGATACAGATGAAAATATGATATGATTTGAATTATTTTAGTATTGGTTTATCCAATTATGACTTGGATATAATTTAGGATATGATTTAGATTTCCAATTTCTTGATTTAGGTATCTAAATTTATTTGATTTTTATGTCCAAAACGTGCCATATGAGTTTGTGTTGAATTGAACTTTTTGTTTTAATCTAAACCTAGTAGACCCATTTCAAATTTTCATCTAGTTTCTACGAATTTTTGGAACAAGCATGTAATTAGTTCGGACTTGTTTATTAAATTGTTGAATTGCGACAAGAGACTAACAACTTAAAATTTTGGATGGGTAAAAAAAAATTAACAAAGAAGAAAAGAATAAGATCAATCTAATCTATATGGTTTCTTTATCAAAGCATGGAAAAGCAACTACACACAAGAACCACACGGGAGAGAAAATTAACAAAATTAACGGTTCAAGTCCCAAATACAATTTAAAATTCCGTGTAGCTCATATACATGCATGTAACTATGTAGAATGTTGAGCATTTGTTAAATTTGTAGGCATTTGAAATCTACAAGTGGGACAATAATGACTATTGTTAAGCCACTTGAGGATGCATTTTTTATGAAACACATGCAAGCAAGGCATCTGCACCAATAACATTCCACTGTCGATATCTTGGTTGGGCATCGTGGTGATTTCCTCCAAACAAATCACACAAGTAGTTGCTGATTCCAGTACAATCTCCTCAAACTTTACGGTCTTTAACATCTTCTCAATACCAACTTCGCTTGCTGGAACCATAGCATAATCATCATCATCATCTTCAATGACCGAATTCCACAAATGCAAGGTAACTTCAAGAGGAAAAACTCTCCCAAACGCAATGGAATTGGAATTGTTGTTACGATCACGAGTGGTAGCTGCTGCAGCTGCTTCTCGTTTGACATGGAGCCAGTGGTTTATTATTTGGTRTGTCATGGCTGGTATGTTAATGCAATCTTCATATTCTTTGAACTACCATGATAGGAAACGCTGCAGAGTGTTGTCGCAAATGCCACGGTTGAAGATGTGCACAGGAAGTTGGTAAGCTGCTGTGAAGAATGTAGGGGAATGGTGATGGCTAACCAAAGTTGGAGTAGTGGAGACCACTTGGAAGTGATGACATTCGGCTTGGACTTGGAGTTCCAYCCTGATCTCTTTCACTACCGATATTGACGATTCAAGATCAGAAGKAGCTTCAAATTGTAACTGAGAGGAGGAGGAGGAGCCAGCTTTAACCTTGATTGATATTTCCATCGTGGAATCCTCAAGAAGATCAYGTAGATGCTCCATTAGTTATATTTTTAACACAAAATTCAATAACAACAAAAWACTTTGTTTCAGAGTTTTCAACGATGAAAATTAGGAGACATTAGAGAGATTTATATATAAGAGTTAGGAGGGAAGAGCTTATTCCCATTTCCATATTGTTTTGGGAAACTGAATTCTATTGGCTTTTGTTTTCCATTTATTACTTCATTTTCGAATCTCTTTTATATCTTTATCCTAATCTTTTTTAAATTTCAAAACTTTTTGGTTGTAAATGGTCATCTACGGCAATTTCTGAATTATTATTATTAAATATCATACCATTTTAATTTAGTAATATATTTTATATCAATAATAATGCTCCTTCTAATAAAAAMAATTTATGGCCCGTTTGAAAACCAATTAATTAATTTTGTTTTTTGTTCTTAGTTTTTTGAAAAMCGGGGAAAACCCATTCAATTTTTTTTTTYMAAAAMCMWTKRAAAAWT